GTCCCGGTCCGGTACGGGCGCGACACTGAGGGTTGCGATCCATTGCCGGACACGAAAAAAGACAAAAAGGAAAAAAAAAAAAAAAAGAATAACCAAGACATCCTTGAAAAATTTTTTTTAAAAAAAGCAATTACTTTTAAACATATTAATTCAGTTTTTTTTTAAAGCCTAAATTTATCAAATATTTTTAAGGTTGTTTAAATTTTTGGGAAGTGCTCAATATCTTAAATGCAGATCACATACAAAATTGACATTCAACCAAGCTTAGATGCAAATACGTTGCAAACAATAGGTAGAATAAAATGGCTGTGGGGAAAACAAAAACAAGACTAAAATCAAAATTAAACTTTAATTTCTCAAAGGCTGTTGAAATCATCCCACACAATTTGTCATGCTATAAACTTTGTAAGTAGATAACAGAAATAATTTTTATCAGGTGACCTGATAATCATATATGCATCTAAAGGCCTGGGAGAAGTCAAGGTTGCAGTTATGGTTTTGAAAACAAATGTCTTATTTGTTGGAGGCTAATGCCCTATGAGTGGAACCATGCCAAGAGAAAAGAGTGGTAAGTCAACAGAAATGTGAAGAGCAGTAACATTTACGGTGAGCTAAGAAAGGATACATGAAGGAGACAAAGAAATAACAAACAAATAGGAAGAGAATCAGGAGATATAGTGTCAGGAAAGTAGTAGTTGTGAGTGGTTAAGTGTCAAGTACAAGCAGTAAAGTCAAATAAAATGAAGATTTGAAAAGTGTTTATTAGATCTAGTAGTAAAGATGTTGGGGTTAACCATCTTGAGGACTATTTCAGTGGTATAATGGGATAAGGAGAGAATTAAGCAGGTTTCAGAGTGAATAGATGATAAAATGGAAACCATGAAAGTAGCTCTGGTTTGACCAAGAAAGCAGAGTATGTAGCAATCAAGAAAGCAGGGTCCTAGAGATTTAAAATTTTTTTATTGTAGTATGGAAGATACGCAAACAAGTTTTAGCTTGCAGGGGAAGAGCTAGTTGAGACTGAGAGTGAAGAGACAGGGAATAATTGATAGAGATGGTAGGGTATAGGTTAAAAGCAAAGATAGGGAGATACTGACCTTGACCAAGACCCATCATTTTCTGAAACTGAAACAAGTTAGAATGGGTACAGATATAAGTTTGTAGGTGAGGGAACAGGGAATGTATTTAATAGGACAGAACTTTTTACCCTTTTTTCACAGCATGGCATTCATAGAAAATGGTCATGTTTGAGATAAATAGATGAGGGTGTTTGCAGATAGAAGTAATGGATTGAAGGTTTTTCAGCCCTGGGTTTGGATATACTCAGGTGCAAGTAACAAAATACCTGACAGTATCTATCTTACTTAATTAGAGGTCTGGAGTCGGTCAGTTCCCAGGCTTGTACAATTGATCTACAATGCCATCAAGAACTCAGGCATTATGGTCGGAATGTTTGTGTCCTCCCCAAATTCATTATTGAAACTTAACCCACAAGGTGAGGTAGAGGAGATGGTAGGGTGTAAGTTAAAAGCAAAGATGGAGGGATACTGACTTTGACCAAGACTCTTCATTTTTTGAGACTGAAACAAGGGTGGTTAGAATGAGCACAGATATAATTTAGCATGTGGGGCCTTTGGGAGATGATTAGGTCCCCCACGAATGGGATTGGTGCCCTTATAAAAGAGCCCCCAGAGAGCTGTCTTGTCCCTTCCACCATCTGCAGACACAGCTAGAAGGTGCCATCTATGAACTAGAAAGCCAGACCTCAGCAGACACTGACTCTGCTGGCACCTTGATATTGGACTTCCTGGCCTTCAGAACAGTGAGGAATAAATTTCTGTTGTTTTCAAGCTACTCAGTTTACTTTGTTATAGCAACCTTAACAGACCAAGATGCTTTCCATCTTTTTCTTCTAAAACTTGTTTTTAGTTCTTGGGTTTGTTGCCTCACATTTGGGCATTACACCCATATCAGTGTCCAAAGCAGGAGGGAAGAGAAAGGTAGAGGCAAAAGACAAAGATTCTCTTTATATAGGAGGAAAAACTTTTCCAAAAATCCTTCTTGACTTCCTTCCCAGCATATGTATCATTTTATTTCACTGGCCACAAGGTCACATGGCCACATGCTAACTTCAGGGAAGTAAGGGAAGGCATTTGGGTTCTTGTATTCTATAGTGAGAGGCAGGCAAGAAAAAAGGAGGAACGTGAGGGGAGGAGGAAATTGACACAACAAGCCGGAGGCCCTCAGTCCTTTTGTGGCACCTCTTTGGGGAAAACTTCGTAAGTGTTTAATCCATTATGTTACCTGAGGCACCTCTTTTGTAAAATCAACTAGTGTAGGTCTTCTCATAGTTCATGGATTTTTCTATTCTGGTTGCTTGACTTAAATACTTGGCATCATCATCATCGTCATCAACAGTGAACTTGCAGAGTAAGCTTTATCGATACAGTTCTTAGAGATTCCGAATTTTTGAAATTATTTTTCTCTGTTTTATTTTGACACTCTTCTCCTTAAAGTACTGAGTGGCATTTTGGGGCAGGAAAGTGTTTACTTAGAAATCATTAACATACTAGCTTACTAAATTGCTACCAAAATATTTACATCTTTCCCATTGTACACACAGATATAAGTAAGTCTAAGGGGAAGAAAATCAAAACAAAAAACCTACGTGTTTGGGAACAAATTCCATCTCTGAGAAAATGTTTCATTTAATTAAACCAGGAGAATAAAGATATAAAACATCTAATGAACTGGGAAAAAGAGATGTAAAGCACATCTCTATTGAAGCATACTAGGCTTTAAATTGCTCTCTAGATTGTGGCGTAACAAGGAAGGAATCAATCTCCCAATGCTTATCATGTGCCAGGTGTTCTAAAAGAAAGTGCTTTTTTATTATGATATGTAGATTATTGACTTTATTAAATATTTTATTGTACTTTTTATCTGCGGTTAGTAGCTTAAAAAGAAACTTTACTTTTTTGTGTTTTCTAAATTACTGATAATTAAAAAAAAAGTTGAAACGTAGTTGATTGTCCATGTTTGTGGGGTACAGAGTTAAATATCAATACCTGTATACATTATGTGATGATCGAATCAGGATAATTAGCATATTCATCATTATAAAATGTAAGCATTCTTTGTGTGCATTAATCAATTTCTTGCCACTCCCGCTTTCCCACCTCTAGTAACCATGGTTCTATGATTATTGTGATTCTTTCTTCCTCTCTTTCTCTTTGCTCCCACTTATGAGTGAGGACATGTGGTATTTCTCTTTGTGTCCGGCTTATTTCACTTAACATAATTAAAAAACTTTTCTAAAAAATTTTTTATTATATAGGCAGTCTGTGTTAATGCTGTGCTGGAGAAGATAAAGAACATTTTCCAAGAAGAAGAATCCATAAGACAAAACATAGAAGACAGTAAAAATTTTAGAAAAGCCTTGTCTGAACCCATGCTTTTGGAGCCTATATTTCCTGAAGATGAAATCAAAGCAAAACCTTACAGGTCATTGCCAGAGAAGCCAGACAATATTTCACATCACCCCAAGATTTCTGCTAATAAGCAGAGTAACAAGATCCAGGTTTTACATTCTGTGTTTGACTAATCAACTGACATGAATGAATGAGAAAATCTGAACACGGATATCACAGAACAGAACTTAAGAGTTATCTAATGGCACATTTCATTGACAAACCTAGGAGACTAGTTTACATATACTAAATGCTCTGCTTTAAAAAAAAGGGGGCAGGGGGAACTACTACTAAAATGTCATTCTCTAGTATACGTATGGTAGAGAAAATAAAATGAACATTGATGTAGAATATATGTACGCCTCAGATTTTTTTTGACTATAAGATATTTTTAATAAACAAGAAAATTCACACTTTTATGGTTTAGACTTTACACTGTGGTTTATAATATGGGCATATTTATAGGACATTTATGTTTTTATTAAAGACTTGTTTCAAGTGTTTATCTGGGACCAAAAAACAACAAAACAACACACACACACCAAAATGCCACATATCCTCTTATTATCTCTGAAAACGATATTTGATATTCTATCTGCAGGCTGCAGATTTTCAGTCTGCCTATTATTAATTTTTTTATAACTCATCTGCAAAGTTATAAAGGACTTGCAATTCATAGATGCTATAAATTCATAAAACAAAATATTACTTACAAATTTGCTAAGACGTCTGTATACAAGGACAGGACATGATGTACCATTTTTTTTTTTT